TATAGACCAACATGCTTGCTATAGAAAACTTGGATGTGTAGTTCACTGGGTAAAATGTTAAATATACTGTGTGTTAATGAACACCCTTAGCTCACTCATAAAGATGTCAATAAATGTACAAACTACTACATAGGACTGCTCTCAAGCCAACATACAGAGGTTCCTGTTCTGAAAAGCCAAAGACCCGTGATCAACATTAGTTCAATTGAGTAGACACCTTCCCTCTCATACACCCAACGGAAACAGATCCAGTTTCCAAAAACTGCATTTGAAAAAATAACATAATGGACACAGTGCAAAATAACTGTCACTTTCACAAACTTGCCTCATCAATTGGGGAGTCTTCAATGAGACGAGGAGCATCAGAAGAAAGGAGGCCGTGAGTGGCAAGCACGTAGATTTTGTAAGCACCTCGCTCCTTAAGCACTTCAGCAGCAGCCACAAATGACTGTACATCATCCACCATGTCATCCTGAAGGAAGAGAAAATACATTCACATAACTAGGTCAATCTTCTAAAGTGGGGGGGGAGGGGGTAAGAGTTATCTGCAGGCTAGTTGCAACTGTCAGTCCAGCTGTCATGAGGCATCAGTACTAAGGTCAATATAAATAGCTTCCCTAGCTTCTTGCCAGTCAGAACATGCACATTTTGGTGATGCATGAATTATGTCTCCTGGAGCTGGGATAGCACAGTCTGTATAGCAACCGGTCACAGACTGGACAGCCAAGGAGTAGGAGTTCTAGTCTCAGGAGGGGCAGGATTTTCTCCTTTCCACATCAACCAAATCTGTTGTGGGGCCCACCCTGCCTCCTATCTAATGGGTACCAGGGGTTAATGCAGCTGTGGTGTGAAGCTAACACTAACCTCCAACTAGTGCCAAGGTCAAGAATATGTGGTTCTATATATCCACTCCCCCATATGTCTTCATAGTGTAGTGCTTAATTGTTAAGCACAGGAATAACTTTACCTTATTAGGCAGACCAACCAGTTAATAACCATTTTGGGAAATAGCTACAGTTTATTCTGAGAGTAATACAAAATACATAGATACCCTCTGTCTAGACACAGAGATCTTTATTGTTAAGCACATTGTACACATGGTAACCTGCATCCCTGCATAGTACGAGCATGCGTGACTACAGGTGAGGTTTAGATTGGTGATAGATTTACTGACCGCTTACAGATCCTAACTACAAATAACTATAACATTATCACTAATTCCACACTTTACAGTTCACTACAGCACACAGTCTAGTGTTCTCAGTCTGTTACTAGAGGTTTCCTGGTAACGGCTCCAACAATGACTATTCCTGTGCCTCTGACTCAAGTCCTCTTTTTACATTTACCACACAGATCTCACTGTTTACTGACTAAGTTCCAAACCTCCCAGTTATAACACTTCAGCATGGGCCATGTAGTAAACACAGTTCTTCTATTGCTGCATGCATATATATTGTGGGTGTTACCTAGCAACGGCCGCTGCTTATAGAGTCACCGCTTAGCAATGGGTCTATATGCTGCAATAACAAAAGAATTACAGCAAAATGGGAATTAAAGTAATGCAAAATGGGAGCAAGCCTTGAGCTCCAAGAACATAAGCCCCTACTTCCCATGTTATAACGAAATCTGCACATGACTGGATTTTGGGAATGCGCTATGAGTCCACTACTACCATATAGGTTTATTACTTAATCATTATTGTCTCACCCAGAACTGAATATGCCTACTGACACACGGATACCACAAAACATAATCCTTCCACTGTTTCTGAGACATTTTCAAACTTCCTTCTCCTTTTGGGTGAAAACTTAAAATACTTTTCGGAATACTGTCAAATGTCACTCATCAACATGCTCTTCTGTATCTTCTATATGTTCCACCATTAGCAAAATTTGCTGTTCTCTCATAATTTAAGTTTTTTTCAGTGTTGGAAAGAGTGTAACCCACACACTTCCTCATAAAACACATTTCTGCTGACACTAATCTTCCCTCATCATTTCTTCTTGCCGTCCCTGACTCGCCACCATAAGTTAATGTTGGTTTACCATTCCCAGTTCGGTTACTCGCACACACATTCAACTTGGAACAAGTGAGTGACACAAATGAGCCATACAAGGAAAACAACTGACAACTTACAACCATGATGGCAATCCTGCCACCAACATCACCAACAACATTGATTGGAGGCTTCTCCTTGGCTGGATGGACTGGTACTCCTACACTCACATCCATCGTACGTGAGCGTGACAGGATCGGAGGAGAATATCGACCATCTACCATATCTGACTCTGCTTCCTTCTGTTCGCCATGGATAACTGCAATACCCAGGCGCAACCTCTCTGCATATGAAGTTGCCTTCTTGGCTGAGCCCGGATTCCGGGCCACAATCACAGCATTGCGATAATCAGGGATCTACAACATGTCAAAAATGCTGTCAGAACAAAACCAATGTATGGTACAGCAGTGAAACATCCAAACCTTGTTTTGAGCATTGCCTTAATAGAGTTTCAGATTTTCAGTTCATAATTTTAGACTATATAGCAGATGAGTGCCAAACTGTGGCTTCCATACACTTGAAAGGATTCTGACGATGGTGTACGCTGTACAGATCTATTAGGCTCATTTTGGACTCTATCCATCGCCTGGTATATATAAGACAAAAAACCACAACATTTTGGAGACTGGATCTGTCTCCGTCCTCAGGTGGATGGGGACGTCCAGTGATTGAGACTAGCTCTTTCTAACAGGCCCAACTGAGTAGTCTACCTAGCCCAGAGACAGATCCAGTCTCCAAAACATTTTGGTTTTTTGTCTTATGTATACCAGACGATGGATAGAGTCCAAAATGAGCCTAACAGTTCTGTGGCTTACAACAGGCTCTTTATACCATTTGTGTGACTTGTGAAAAAAATAGCCAATCCTTCGTGTAAAAACTGATTCAGTATAAAAAAAATTCACTGCATATAAAGGATGTAAATACCTATACCATGCCATCTTTCTTCATTTAAAACTCAAAACTGTATGCTTACAGATGTAATTCTGTTGGTACAGGAACCAACCACATGATTGCTGGTTACCACCACTCATTTAGTGGACACATTATCCCTCCCACAGAGTAGCCACATGAGAGAAGTGGCCAGCAAATTCTATGCCATTAATCTGACATTATCATTGTTATAAAGAAAACTAATCACACATGTAAAATTAAAAATAAAATTTGCATATAAAAGGTAAAAAGTAAATGCAGTTGTTCTTGTGCTTAATTATTCAAACACCACACCATCAAGAAGGTACAGCTTCACTAGTCCTGATCTCGGCACTAGAGGGAGGTGAGTGGTCAGCTTCATGCTCTGATAGCTTTACCCCTGGTGAAAGAGCTCCAGGTACCCAATCAAAAGGAGGCTGGGTGGACTCCAGGGCCAGCCTGAATTCTGTGGAGATGAGAAAAATCTCTTCCTCTGCCAGGAATTGAACCCTAGTCATCCAGCCCATAATCTGTTGCTATACCGACTTAGCCTACCTGGCTCTTTAATAAAAAATAGGTTGTGTAATTAATTATGTTCACCAAATTCACATGTTTTCAGCTCCAGATGTCTGAAAATTATATATGACTCCAACGTTCAATAACTTAAGTCATCCCTGCTATACAGATCTGATGGTAGGATGTCAGTAACTAATTGAAAAGGATTTGAAATGAAATGGTTATGGTCTACATTAATGGTCCAGTGCAAGAACAGGGTCCTCCAATTCTGGAAGAAATTTAGCTCTAAATTGTTCCATATACATATAACATTGTCTATTGTATCAGTAAAAGAAAGATGACCCGAGTTATTAGATATGCTGTCACAATGAATATTTTTTCTCTTGCTTTCCAGAAGTCTCTTAAAGTCAAGCATCATTCTCTTCAGACTAGACTCTTATATTTAAGGCAAATTTGCCTGGAGGGACTGAGGAAAACAATGAAAAACCTCAGGATAGTCAGTAATCCAGCCCAGATTCAAATCTGGCACCTCAGCAGCACTACTGCCTCAGCCAACTTGCTCATTAAGTGTCATAAAGAGAATATTTGTGATCAACTTATTTATGACATGAAATTGGAATGTAATATCATACAAGAGGTCGCACCATAGCTCAAGCGGCTAATCACTGGCTTCCCATTGCAGAGGCCCGGGTTTGATCCCGGGTCAGGTCAAGTGGGATTTGTGGTGGACAAAGTAGCGCTGGGGCAGGTTTTCTCCGAGTACTTTGGTTTCCCCTACCAATATTCATTCCACCAATCCACAATCACCTTCACCTATCATCTGGGGATGGTACAATAGGCCAGAAGTGGCCACAGTACAAGGGACTTAGTCCCACCCCACTAGCAATAATAAAAAAAAATGGTATGAAGAAAGAAGAAATCTGAGGCTCTCTGTCTGCTGACTCATATAAGACAGAAACAACACTGGCGGATGAAATTGTTTATGGTTTCCTTAATGATTCTCCCAGCATTGAATGATCATATGAGCAGTAAATAATGAACTGACAAGGATGTGGAAGGAAGCAGTCACAACTTAATTTGAGGTAACATTTTTAATGATACATGTAACTCACACCATTATGACGAAGCAAATTCCTGAGAATGAACTGAGAAGTGACTAATTCTCAGGCTATTTAATGGCACTCAACTGCAAGTGTCTCAAATGGAAGTTTGAATGAACAGACAAGAACATGCAAGGAAGTGACTATGGCTTACTTTATGGTACATTTCCCAAGCTTGTGTGGAAAATGATAAACCATCACATGGATATCCTCTTTCTAGGGCAAGATCCACTGAACACATCAGTGTAGTTGCAATATTCTTGGCTCTTATTCATGAAATACTTGATCTGAATCTCAGTTGGGACACTGGCTGTCCTGTCTGAGGTAATTTCATTTTCCTCAGTCCCTCCAGGCATATTCCTCGATAACACCTAAATTAGGTCACAACTGCTACTGACAATGCGCTAAAATAACCCACACAAAATAGTTAGCCAAGAATCAAACACAGGCATTCTAAATATAAAGTGAGAGCACAAACCACATTCAGCTGGTGTCCCTTGTGTACACAGATCATTAATAAACATGTCACTTACACATTCCTGGATGTACTGCAGCAAGAAGGGTGAGGCCCTTAAGTTATCAACGGGACAATCAAAGAATCCCTGGATTTCCTTCTGGTGCAAATCCATTGTTATGACATGGGTGAGACCTGACTTGCATAACATCTTGGCCAGCAGCTTGCTCACAATGCAGCCACGTTTCCTCATTTTGCCTGCATATGACAACAAACAGTGTCATCAAAATGCGTTGCTGTAAGTAATCAACTGTCAGTAACAGAATATAGTGACAGAGTTCCGAACCAATGACAGATCTCACAACATTCATTCCTGTGGTCTGTGCAATTCTAGTACTGTTGTCACTTCCAGCTTCCAGCAGCTCTGCTGCTTGCTGCCAGACCAAGCTGACCATTTTTAGCTGCACACTATCAGTTTTCAGTATTTTATAAAAACAAATGAATAATATATGATCTACACAGTCCACAGAATTACAAAAACAGTTAAGAGTACCATCTACTGACAGTGGAGAAAACTATGTGCTCAAAATGTGTTCTTAAAGAGGGAAGTTTTGTCGGATGTGAGGTTCTCACAGCAGTGACTACCAACAGTACTATCTTCTGAGATGTGATGATTCCTCAGCTGCTTCTTACCAGTTTCTTGCTTGGCTTACTCTTTGACAATGAAAATGGAAACAGTATATTCCTCCAAAATGTCAGCGAACCATTCAAATACACAACTTCATGTCCCAGAAGACAGTATTCTTCATAAATATACTGTTCTGTCAAAATGTGTCACTACTGACCTAAATCAGGTACAGCAATTTGGACAAAACACTGATAACCAACCTCGAACAGGACAGTGAATATGTTAACATAATAAACGGGTTAGATACAATAGAAAGTACAATAGGAGTGGTTCCAAGGCACATAAGGCAAGCTAGCCATGGTGTTACTCTTAACATAACCTCTAATTTATTACTTACATTGTTTGCTGTATGGTAGATATGGAATCACTCCAACAATACTCTTGGCAGAGGAAGTCTTGCATGCATAAGCCATAATCAGCAGCTCCATTATGTTATTGTTCACATCTCTGTTAAAAAGAAAAAACACAACAAAAATATTCACTGTGAAATGACGAGCAAAACTGGAAAAACGAAAAGACAGGATAAGAAATGACATCTTTGATAATGCCTCCAAGGAGAAATGAAAGTCCTTTTCTGAGGATCAAGCTTGTTCATATAGCAGTAACTCTTTATATATAATATTTATGATGTGCTTGCTTTGAGCCCCAGCCAGGACACTCGCTACCCTGACTGGGGTTTTCTGTGGGTTTCCTCTTTTCCTCCAACCAAATTCCACAACAGTACCCCAATTAGGTCATACCTGCTTCCTTCCAAATCCCCTCCACTTCATCTATCATCATACCACGCAACACCTTATAGTATTAAAACTAGAATCTTCATTAAATTACTCAAAAGATCATATTAAAGCAAAATTTTCAGAAATCAAAATTATGCAAGTCCTGGGATACCTGTACATGACAATAATGTAAGCACATTTGTGCTCCAGCAATCACATGGGTATCATGTGGAAAACTTTTTCATTTTGTACTTTAACATACTTTGTTCCAGTCTGGATGATATAGATGTCCTTCCCTCGTACTGAGTCTCCAATCTCCACCATAGTCTCACGATTTGTCTTGTGGTAAACAGCACAGCCACCACTCTTCACACCAAGGCGGCTAGAAAACAAAAACTCATTAATACAACAAGCAAAACATTTCATAAGGCAAAATTATGAGACACACACACACAAGGAAGGCATAAAACATTCATGAAAACATACAGGTCTGGACTAGCACATAGGCTAATCAAGAAGTTCTAGGAACAATTTATCAACCTCCTTCCCCTGAAATATCCCAGTCTATATGTCAAGCCCGGCAAGAACTGTTAAATTAATAATTCACTAATTCCAGTTATTACAAAACCATACTTCACGGTCCTCCATTCAGACTTTCACTCCATGCAACTCTACTCCTAGTTTACATCTCAACCCAGTGACTTTTGTGATACACCAGCAGTTGTCAGTATTACATGCCAAGAAATGAACAGCAAATGGTCTAGAGGGTAAGGCCATGCCATAGCTCAAGCGGTTAGTCGCTGGCTTCCCATCGCAGTGGCCCAGGTTCGATCCTGGGTCTGGTCAAGTGGGATTTGTGGTGGACAAAGCAGCACTGGGGCAGGTTTTCTCCGAGTACTTCAGTTTCCCCTGCCAATCTTCGTTCCACCAACTGTTCCACAATAACCCTCACCTATAATCTGGGGCTGGTACATTCATTCATTCATTCATTCATTTATTTTTCGTTCCATGGATCCACAATACAAGTGAGATATAGGACATGTCTGTACAGTGATTATTCTTAAAATTAATAGAGCAAAAACTAAGTAAATAAATAAAAAAAGTATAAAATACAAATATAAAAACAGAAACAAATCAGAAACAAAACATGTAGAATCAAATAGATTCCAGTCATATAAGTTAATTTGATGAAACATGCAGTTTAAATTTAGACAATGTCAGTTTGAACATATCACAGAAATTGCTCAAATGACTAGAATAATACTAATAAAAAACAGGATGATCAACAGGTGATTCTAGTGAATGCATAATCATTAACTTATAATGATTTATATTGGAAATATTCTTCCATAGAATAAAAATGATGAAGATAAAGAAAACGCTTTAAACAAATTTTGAACTTCTTAGGGTTGAGTGACTCTTCTTTTATATAAGAAGGAAGATTATTATAAATTTTTATGCCCATATAATACACTCCCTTTTGATATACCGTAAAATTTGCTATGGGTTGATAGAAATTTGTAATATGTCTTGTATTTATATTATGATTTAGTGAATTTGGAATAAAGAGACTTTTATTATTAACCACAAAGAGCATGAGTGAAAAAATATACTGTGAAGCCAAAGGCAAAATTTCCAATTTCCGAAAGAGATCTCTACATGAAACTCTACTATTACAGCCGATCATAATTCTAATTATCTTCTTCTGCATTCTAAATACTTTTATACTATGAGGCGAGACTCCCCAAAAGCAAAGACCATAGTTCATAACAGAGCCAAAATAAGAGTAGTAAATTGTTTTCAAAGTTTTTAGAGGCAAGTATGGTTTAATACTTCTCATCATATAACATGCTGAGGTAAGTTTTGGGATTATACATTCCACATGTGAACTCCAGTTGAGTGTATCCATTATGTTTATACCAAGAAACTTTATATTTGACACAGTGGTTAATGGACGATTGTTACAAACAATATCTACATTGGTTGTGAGTTTATTTTTGGTTTTAAACTGCATACTATGAGTTTTATTAATATTTATTGAAAGCAAATTTGTCCTAAACCACTTATATAAATGATTAAAAACATTATTCATATTAATATGGAGATTTTCTGAATTTGAACCTTTAATTAATACGCTTGTATCGTCGGCAAACAAAATGGATATAGCATTGTTAATTACGATTTTGGGCAGATCGTTGATATAAATGAGAAACAGCAACGGGCCTAAAACCGAGCCTTGAGGAACACCATCAGTTATTTTTCCCCAAGAAGAATGGGTAGTTTGATTAGAATCTTTTTCACAAACTTGAATTCTCTGATATCTATTGTTAAGATATGATTCAAACCATTTCTTAGTTTTACCATTTATACCATAGAATTGCAGTTTAGACAATAAAATATCATGATTCAAACAATCAAATGCCTTCTCAAGGTCAAAGAATATACAACCTATTGGAAGTTTACTATTTAAAGCTTGCAAGGATTCATTAATTAATTTGTAAATGGCTTTATTGGTTGAGGAATCCTCTCTAAACCCAAATTGTTCATCTGCTAAAATATTATATTTCTTAAGATGATCCAGAAGTTGATCGTACAAGACCTTTTCAATTACTTTTGAAAATGAGCTTAAAATAGATATAGGTCTGTAGTTGGAAATAGTAGATTTATTTCCCTTCTTAAAAAGGGGCTTGACAACTGCATATTTCAAGCGATCCGGAAAGATTCCTAAAGATATCGATTTATTACAAATATGGGTTAGGGGCGAACTAATAAAAGGTGAACTAATTTTTAATAATTTGGTTGATATTTCATCGTATCCAAATGAATTTTTAGTCTTAAGAGAGTTTATTACCTTTTCAACTTCTTTGGAGGATAAGAACTTTAGGTTAATGTTTGGGAAGGGAGTCTTAAAAGACTGCAATAAATAATGCAAGGAAGTAATGTCATCTAAGTTCTTTAATTTAAGGTCATTATGATCAATATTAATATTTTTAGCTATGGATAGAAAATATTTATTAAATTCATTGGCTATCACATGTTGGTTGGTGATTGAGATCCCATCGATATTTAAAGTTATAGCCTTATCGGCAGAAGGCCAGAAGTGGTCGCAGTACAAGGGACTTAGTCCCACCCCACTAGCAATAAAAAAAAATCTACAGAGTAGCAATGTGCACCATCCAATGGCAGAGGCCAAAAATGTGTGCTCAAGGTGAATTCTGAAAGAGAAATATTCAGTTCTCTCATATTTTACTAGACCACCTTTATTAGATAAGGTAGGCTCGATCAAGTACCAATAAAGAAACAAATTAATTTTTATGCTTTGCATCCTGTTATGTATATAGATTAGGGGTTTTTATGTTGTCACACATGAGTTGGTTGAGGCATTATGCTACAAGCCGGAAGGTCCAGCTTCTAGTACGATGAGATGGATTTTTTTCAATTTACCTAATCCTTCCAGCCGCACTATGGCCCTGGGGTTGGCTCAGCCTCTAACAGAAATGAGTACCAGGAATCTTCCTGAGGGGTAAAGGGTGACTGGTGCATAAGGCTGACAACCTTACTGCACCATCTGTGAGTCAACTGTCTAGAGTTAAGGTGGAAGCCTCAACATCTCACAACCCTATGGGCCTTCAGAGTCCATTATAGGGTTAGCTTTACTTTTCTTAGTTTTATATCGTCACATGACACATTGATTCTCTTGTACATAAGAAGTCATTGAATTGAATATATCAATACATCAATCAGTTTCATGACTTTCCTTTTACATTATAGATACAGGATGGTTTTAATGAGCTTAACACATTCATGGCTCCACGCTTCACCGCAACTGACGCACCGCCGGCTGTGGAGTGCATGCAAATTTTGCCGATGAATGAGCATGCTGATAACATTTGGAATGAAGGGAAGTTCTTACCCTTGTTTCACAGGTGTTGAAAATGCTGTCTCGCTACATGTAGACATTCCTCACATTGGTGGAAGAGGTTTTTATTTACCCTCCGAAGATTCTCTGCAGGAATATTTGAAATTTCCTTACGAATGTTTTCTTTCAGTCCTCCTTCCATTTGAGGGTTAGTGCTGTAAACTTTGTCCTTCACACAACCCCAGAAGAAAAAAATCACAAAGATAACTTCTCCTCAGTAAGCACTCGATTCTTATGTTTTGTTTTCTTGTCTATTAAGAGTCCTGTTGTTCTACGATTATTCACCAAATTATGAATTGTTTGTCTGCTGGGAACTCTTTTGTCATGAAATTCACAATGAAACTTTCACTGATACATTCCAGCAGATCTGTATTTCTCATAGGTGTCATACAGAAATACACATTGCTCTAAAGTATTGCAAACCATGTCATGGCAAACTGCTGACTAACTTTTAACTGGGAACAAGTGGCTCATGGCAATGATAAATATTGCCTACTGCTGAGAAATCATAAATTCCCATGAATGAACAGGAATTCCCGCCGTGTAACCAAATACTGTGTAGCGGTCTACTAGTTAATTATTTTCCTTCATTCCAAACGTTATCAGCCATCAAGCATGCTGAGTCATCAACAAAAATTGCATGCACTTAGCGGCTGGCAATGGCCCAGTAGCGGTGAAGTGTGGAGCCATGAAAATGTCAATAGCTTTAAATTTTCACTGTACATAAGAGCAGGGCACATGGAAGAAAACATGAATATATTCCAACCACTCTACAGTAGTACTTGCATACCAACTACATATAATATATAAATATAATACATAAATCCTATAAAGGTGAAAAGGCTTGAACGGGCTGGACACATAATATGTGCCAGCGAGAATAGAACCATCAAGAAAATGCTTAATACTAAAGCAAAAGGAAACAGGAGAGTGGGAAGACCAAGGTTAAGATGGGAAGAATGTGTGTGGCAGGACATAAGAATTTTGGGTGTAAAGAACTGGAGGAATGTAGCATCGAATAGAGAAGAATGGCGAGCAATCCTGAGGAAGGCCAGGGCTCACAAAGGGCTGTCGTGCCAGTGATGATGATGATGATGATGATGATGATACATAAATCCACACAAAATAAAAACACACCTCCCTATTACCATTCAATATATTCATGTTTTATATGATATACTCGTATATACACATGTTTTACAATTTTTAACGTTCATACTTTTAATACATTCTTTGAAGAACTTTATTCCATACAGCCAAAATGGATCCATTTTGATTACATATTCAGAAATATAGCACAATATAGTTATGACTACATTACCTGAGGTTTGTCAACCATGACCGACACATATAGTGTCTAATATAATAAACTGATTGAGACATTAATATTTTCAAGTCAATCGCTCAGTATATATAAGAGAATCAACATGTTGTGAGGCAATACAAAAACCCTTAAATCAAATTTATACATGTGCCATTAAAAATGCAACCAAAACTATAGCAATGTATGCAAGTTTTCAAGTACATTAATATGAGACAAACGACAGAGCTAGTTTTTCTTCACTGTTATAGGGCATATCATCTGTCAAGACTGTTAAATGCTGGAGATGCCGCATGTCCTAAACACTTCCTGTGCCCTGAAAATTTGTTACCAATTGATATCCTGCCATGTTATTTGATGCGAAGTAATGTTCGAGAATGAACACATGTTCTGCTTACGAATACACCACATTCACATCGGCAGAGCTTCTGCATTAATAGCAACAGGGGTGACACTGATTCAAGTGTCACAAAGGAAGTTGCGAGACACTGATATGTTGGGATTTTGGACTTTATCCATCGTCCTGGTTTTTAAGATAAATAAAAAACACGACGTTTCGGAAACTGGATCTGTTTCTGTCCTCAGGTGAAGGACCCCTGGTCCAGTGATTGAGGCTAGCTCTTTCTAAGGGACCCAACTGAATAGGTGTTTTCCTTCACCTGAGGACAGAAACAGATCCAGCTTCCGAAACGTCGTGTTTTTTATTTATCTTAAAAACCAGGACGATGGATAAAGTCCAAAATCCCAACATATCAGTGTGTTATACACCATCGTCAGAATCCTATAGTAACTGAAGTTGCGAGAGCCCATTACAGGGAGTAAAGAGCTTTGGATCTCATTCCTCTACCACAATATGTAGCTTCTTTTTTTCATGGGATATTTAACATTGATTTCAATATCAGAACTATGTAGCGCTGGACAATGGGATGAGTGATGTATTGGAAAGGATGTAGAAGGAAGCAGTCATGGCCTAACTGAGGTACTATCTTAGAATTTACTACATGACTGCTGTCTCAGTTGCATATCAAATAGTACATCCTGTACATGAAATAATAAGATTATGGTCTTCTGGGATGTGTTGTCATGTAGCCTGCTGGGCAAGTATCAGTGTTCTGGGGGAATATGGTGCCTCCATATTCAGAGGAAATCCACATATGAAATATCAGTGCAGTAGTAGTCGACAGGATATCTATAGAATTTGGTTGTTTTGCAATTACAGACATATGATTTTATATTTCAAGCTTGCTGTAGTTGACTGCTTTGTTGGGGATAATTTCATGGCATGCTATTAACTTCAGTTACCACTGCAGAATCTACTCTGAGCTCTACACTGGATATCAGTGCATTTCTAACATATATCGATAAGTGTCATCCTACCAAAGAGATCTAAGAATGGATTTTATAAACTGTCTGCTTCACATAAGGTTGTATGTAAAATGCAATATAAATTGCACAGCTATCCTCTGTCACTTCCATAAGACCGGCCTCTATACAATTTCATCCCTTCCATACATACCCTACCTTTCCCCTTCTGCGTGATACACTCACTGTAACAAAAATAGTTTTATTGTTAAATGTGGAATGGCTTACCTAGCAATCAAACCTACAAGTTCCGCATGAGAATTTCCTCCAATTATCATTATATCGCTTGACGATTGGACATCCATGTTTGCTGGAGTTCCTCGGTAGAGAATCTGTAAATGTTACAAAATATAAAGTTACAGACTAAATTACTACATTTCTGACATGGGCTATGTGACAAACAACCCGAAAACCCTCAATTGAAGCTGATATTATAAAACGAAAATTATATCGTGTAACAGAAGTATTCGTAAGTTTATCGGCATATCAATAAAAATTACTTTTAATAAATGTAATTGCATAGACTTTAATTATTTCTTTATATCTTTACCTCTTCGCTTCCCTGTCGTCCGCCTTGACCGATCTGTGACGTCATTTACGCTATTCATCTTTATGCCACGAGAGGTCATTACCTGTTGCAAAGATCTGTAGAAAGTAATATAGTACTGAACCGCGAAGATCGGTGCTGAACTATCAACCAAAAAAAAATTGATATTCACAATGGATGTGGATATATTTTATGTGTACAGTTTAAGAAAATTATTAAGCGATTGTACAATGACATATAAATAATATCACAGATTAACTGGTTTACGACACATTACGGACAAATATATTTCGCTTGAGGAAATAGCATATCTTCAGCTTTCGAGCTTTGGTTTAAATCAGCGTCGTCGCGTCGTCTTGAGGAGGTTTCACATGTCATTGTTTTGTACTATTAAAAAGGTAACATGTGCTTAATTGTAGTATTCGTAACACATTGTTTTTGGCTCACACCTGTTACACATTTTTGTAGAAGAAGACGAAAATAACAACCGGGACCTTCTTGAAATTCAAAGGGGGCGTATAAAAATAGGTGTCACACTAGTAGTGCATTAGTGTTTGCCCCAGATTTTTCACTTGGTCTCTTCGAAACTTAAACCAGACTCATTTATTTTTCAGCGTGTCTCTTGATGCAAAATGGGATGGGTGGATGTCTAACCCTGGACAGAGAAGAATCGAAAGCAAGAAGGAGAAGTGAAGAAATTGACAAACAGCTTGGAGAACTAGCCAAGCAGGAACGAAATGTTATTAAAATATTGTTACTGGGTAAGAACGTATTTAATAAAATTTGTTGAGTGAATTGTGTTAAAAACATGCGTTGAACGGCTTTTAAGAACACCACTGTGCTGTTACAGGTGCAGGCGAAAGTGGTAAGAGCACTCTTGTGAAACAGATGAAGATAATTCACAGTGATGGCTTCACTAAAGAAGAATTGCGAAGTTTTCGCCCAACAGTTATGGATAATTTACTTTCGTCAATGAAATATGTTCTTACTGGAATGGGTCTGCTTAGAATCAATCTCCAGTCTGCCAAGAATAAAGTATGTAAAGTAACGTCTGTTTATACTTTCGACTAGTGCATGTCTCTGTCTGCATATAAAAATGTTTTTTTTTAGGTGAGTGAGAGTTCTGAAATTATGCACTTTGGTGTGACTGAAGCAGCAAAATTGTTGAGCATGAACACGCTGTATAAACAGGTCACAAACGACCAAGCGTCATGTGTTTCTGATATGAGAATTGATACAATGGTATGGTTGGTATAATTGCTTCCTGAACATAAAATTGCTTCATTAATGTAATGTGTGGAGTCGGTTACATACATATTCTTTCCTGACATTTTGTTAATTAGTGATGCAGTGCCCAGAGGTTGTTTCTGAATAGCAGCCTGAATATTCTTCAGTCATATTGCCCTTTATTGCAACAAATCTCAAAACTTTACTCTTTCTTTTAAATGCTTCTAGTCTGAGTTGCATTTGTATTTCTTCTAATGAGAAATAGCTTTCTCTGAAACCATAACAAATAAGATCCATGTATTAATATTTTCAGTGTAAAAAATAAAAGGTAAAGTTGTCCCTGTACTGAGCTAGTTAAGCATTATGCCATGAAGGTGTATGGGGGAGTGGATGTATAGATCCACATTTTCTTGGCTTTGGCACCTGGTACCCATTGGACAGAAGGGTGGGTGGGCCCCAGACATGGAAAAGAAAATTCTTGACCCTACTGGGACTTGAACTCTGACCTCTTGGTCATGCAGCCCTGAGCCAGTCGCTATACCAACTGCACTATCCTGGCTTCATAATATTTTCAGTGTACTGTTGACTGCAATTGGCTATCCTGGAATATACTTAAAAAAAACAATAAATTTGAATTCTTTTCCAGGCTCATGCCCACACAGTGTTAATAAGCAGCAGTTGCTTTGACAAGAGATTCAACATATTACCGAGTGTTGCCTTAGCTCTTCAAGCACTGTGGCAGGATCGAGGGGTCCGATTAGCGGTAGCTCGTGGCTATGAGTATGAACTTAATGACTCAGCCATCTAGTGAGTGGAGATGTCATTCATATTTATGAATACTGAGAACTGATTATCTGAGTTATGTCAGCAAATTAGCAAATAAGAGAAATGTAACAGTTCTTCTGTTTGGATTTTAAATAGAGTTATTGCAGCTTATTTAATCTTTGATCCAACAGACATAGATCCATATGTACTAATAATGGCTATTTAAATATTCGTATCATTAACAGAATTAAAAATAACATAGATTTTAGTACCTCAAGTTACTTTGCTCATAAAAACTCTGGACATTTTTATGCCCCCAACAGTTTGTTTGAAAACATGGAGAGAATTTGCGATGAAAAGTATGTTCCTACACCAACGGACGTGCTGCGGGCTAGAGTACGGACGAATGGAATAATTGAAACTCACTTTAAAATAAATGACATAATTATAAGGTATGTAAATATGGAACATGATACATATAAACATGTATAACCATGTGTGTACCCATCAGGATATTTGTTTGTGCATTTCAGTATGTTTGATGTGGGAGGTCAGAGATCACAACGAAGAAAATGGATTTACTGTTTTGATGATGTACGAGCTGTAATGTTTGTCGTCTCTCTTAGTGGCTATGACATGACACTTGTGGTGAGTTTGTAATGTTTGAATGTAGCACATACATGTATATAACCTACATTGTATATTGAAGAGTGCAGTCTTCTGGGTTGTAACGCTGTGTAGTTCAGAGAGAGCTCAGTGTTTTGAAGGAACATATTACCTCCATCTGCAAGGCCGAAAAGTGAGCTAAGCAAGAATCCAGCAGAAACAGGGTGTCTCTGCATTACATCATGTTACAGCTCAGAAGTTCATCCTGTTCATAGTCACTGCTGTGGGGACCTCAAATCCTACATCATTTTTTCTCACATCAACACAGTCACTGCCATGCCTCCACACCGGAGGTTTACCTGATGGGCCGATTATTTTTCCACAAAATCTACATTTTAATTTAACTACCTTCAAAACATAAATGGAAGTGACCAAGTGAGAAACAGCCAATATTTGCTGTATGGTTTAGAATTCTTCAAGCTTCAATAATTTACACTGAAAGTTTCTGTGCATTTCATTGCCATCTGTAGGAGAAAATGATATTTATGTATACTGTGGCACCNGTTTGATGTTACGTACATTATTAACATTACAGAATCCACATATTCCTGCCAGTTTTAATATCTATTTTGTAATCAACAAGTGTGTAACCCCGGTCAAAGTTTGACACTTCTCTGGCCATTATCTCCGTAACCGTTCAACTTTGGACATAGGTGTTTTGGGTTATATCGGCATACTTTAACATAAGGAACACCCTCCCGAAGTTTGGCACATTCCTCCTGGGACACCCTGTATATATATATATATGGCACTTTATTTGTTAATGAGATCCTGTTTCAGATGGAGCTGAGCCCTTCTTGAGAAGCTACCTATTGTGCATCTACTCAAGAACTTCCCAGCTTTTTATGGGACCCAAAGGTTCATTACTGTGTTCACAATAGCCTTTCACTGGTCCCTACCCTGAGCCAGATCAATCCAGTCCATACCACCCCATCCTATCCCTCTAAGATCCATTTTAACATTTCTTTACCCACCTATGTCTTTGTGTTCCTAGTGGTCTCTATCCTTCTGGCTTTCCCATCAATATCCTATATACATTCCTCTTGTCCCCCATTCATGTTACATGCCCTGCCCATCCCATCCTTGACTTTATCATTCTAATTATGCTTGGCGAGGACAGTTGATCTATTCTTTTGCCTATGTTAACTCCTGTATATTATCATCATATTCAGAATTAAGGTTTTCAAGAGCCTGCAAAATAGTTTCATGTACCATTTATTTATACACTTCCTCTCAGACAGATGTGGCATTAAGTATCTCCTTGTTTAGACAATTCTGGATAGGAAAATTATCAGGCAAATATGTACCGATATGGTCTTTACATTTCACTTAAATACATTTTAATAGCCTAACTAGTTTCATGAGCACCCGAAACCATGTGAGAATAGTGTAGAATACTTCCCTCCTAACTAAATCAAGTTCTATACTTCTGATTAAATTTCATTGCCATGCTGTTAATTATTTGTTATTTTTATTTCGTCAGTATCAAAACCATTTAGGGGTGTTCACAACATCTGCAAGAAGTTCGCTGTCACAGTAAGGCACTCATTCAGCTATTTTCATTGCTTTTACAGGAGGACCCTACTGTAAACCGACTGGATGAAAGTTTGAATCTCTTCTCGCAAATTGTTAACAACCGGTTCTTCCGAGAAGCATCATTTGTTCTTTTCCTCAACAAGTTTGATTTGTTTCGTGAGAAGATCTTGTATTCTGGAAGACATCTCAGACTGTATTTTCCAGATTACAAAGGTAACAGAGAGTTCTGATTAAAGATGATGTCCTTGGGCTCTTGGAACCAGAAGGACATTTAACAATATGAAATGAGCTTCATGACTTAGAGTTTTGAATCCTGTCAGCTAGTGAGTTTAACCTGGGAAAGAAGTTCAGTAACAGCATGTAAATTTATTGTGTTGAGTTCACGTTAACATGGGAATGAAAAGGTTAAATGAAGACTTCTATATATAATATTTAATTTAGTTCACTTAACAGGCTTTTTGCTTAGACATTGACTGTTAAAGAGGAAATATGGAATGTATAGTAAATTTTGAAGAATTGTCATAGGAAAATTGAGAAGTTTGAAGGAGATTAAACTAGATATAACACCTGTTTAAAATTCAGCAAGAAGTTTTATCATTTGTTATATAAGCTTTTGTACTGTTAATTTCTCCTGTATTCCATTCCAGTCCTACATGTTACTGAATGATGTGTTGATGCTGATGCTCAATGCCATCTCCAAGAATAAAAAATATTCAGATGTAAACCATCTCCTTTGTATAGAATGCTACACTTCACACATCCAAAATAATTTATTATTATTACTCAGAACAAACATAAGTAGGCTGACAACCTCACTGCCACTGTGAGCTGACTGTCTAAAAAAATGTGGGAGCCTTGATGTCTCACAACCATATGGGCCTCCATGGCATGTTACAGGAATAGCTTTACGTTTTTGCCTTTTGCACTAACACAAAAGATTGCTCGGTTGTCTGCGAACTACTACATATGTCAGGTTCATGAGATGTATTAGTACTGAATAATTTATTGCTGCTAATCAGAAATTGCATAATGGTAAATTTCACACAAAACTTTTCTATATATATATGTGTGTGTGTGTATGTATAAAAGGACAATGGAAGAGCTCTGCATTTACAAAAGAAGGGCAGACAACCCAGACAGGTGGTGTATGCAAGTGACTAGCAATGTTAAATGGAGGGGGAAGTATCACCTGAGTTAGGTGATGAGAGATTGTGGGTTCAGAAAGATACATGAAGCCCATTCATACATTGATCCTTCCATTAATAGATAAAATGCCTGAAGAAAAGGCCATTGAAGATCGCCATCTTCTGGGATGTGATGTTACATATGGTAGATCATTATGAGACACCATGATGTCACATCCCAGAAGATGGTAATCTTCACAAGCACTGCCTTGAGAACCTCTAGTCTCATGAGTGGCTAGTTTAGAGTGGTATATATACAAACCACAGACTGTGATTAGGTTCCATGTTGCAGGGCCTGACTATGATGTGGATCGTGGTGCTCTATTCATCCAGCACAAGTTTGCACTGCGCAACCACAATTCTGCGAAGGTGATCTACCCACACTTCACCACGGCTACTGATACATCCAATATCCAGGTTGTATTCCAAGTTGTGATGGATACCGTGATACGTGAAAACCTTCACCAAGTGACTTTGTTATAGATGTGTTCTGTGAGGTGACTTAGTGCAATTACTTCTACATTTTTGTTCACTTTTTGACATTGCAACAGCTAATTTAGTTTCCTGTTTGTCGCTATTGCATTTCTGTTTCCAAATGCTGCTTCCTTGTACAAATTGATCATTAGTGTATTTATTTAGAAGTGCAGAACTTCTGCAGATGTAGAATTTAAGAGCAAACATATCAAGAAATATTACATCCTGTTGCATACTTCATTCCATGGCATAATTCAAGCGCATGTCATTTTTACTGGGCAAAATTTAGTTCAAAAACCGAAAGGAAGAGACTGCTTTGGGGAGACTTTGATTTCAGTTATTTGCAATTCATTTAAAACTGCTGGCAGGAGCTCAGACTGTCTAGTGTTAGGGTACTTACATACTGACAGATGGCCCACGTAACTTCAAAATTTACTGCCATGCTGTCCACCATGTTAGCACAGCGAGAACAAGATGACAACCCAAATTTTAGAATTTGTTTCCAGTAGCATGTCCATGGCCGGTCACGGTAGCTGAGTGGTCTAAGGCATGTACTGTCTTCGCTCGCTTGGAAACTGGGATCGCGGGTTCGAATCCGACTCAGGGCATGGATGTTTAGTTTGGGTGTGTGCGTTTTTCTGTGTTTGTGTACAGGTAGAGGCCTTGCGACGAACTGATCACCCGCCCAAGGAGTCCTACCGAATGTGTAAGATCTAGAAAAACCGAAGTGAACGGAGAAGTTCATGGAGGTAGGCCTAGGCCCACTGGGGCTGTGGTGCCAAGGAAAAAGAAAAGAGCATGTCCATGAGGAGGTTATGCTTTGATGTTGTTTTTAAAATGTAAAGGTTAGGCTTTTGGTTTTGCTATTTAAGAACAAATGTATCTAAAAACCTTCTAAAGGCTGTCTTTGGGTTTTGTTCTTAGAAATAAACTTTTATTGTTGGCAGCAGTGCTAACGTGCTGGACAACATGACAGTGAAGTTTTAAAGTTATTTGGCTTACCTGTTCATACCTAAGCACCAGCATTGAACCTACACCTAGATGGGGATGATATTAAAATTGATGTATAAGAATGTGCACTGGATTCATCTGGCTTAGGATGAAGTTCAGTGGAAGTGATAATGAATCTTCAGGTTCCATAAATGATGTGGAATTTCTTAATCAACTGAGTGACTGATAGCTTCTCAAGGACTTTGTCCCATGGCATAGGCCAGTTATATCTGTCATGCATTTCATTCTTATGAATGAACTGAAATGAACAGAACAGTTCTCTAGCAAAGTCTGGCAATTTGATTTGGTTCATCCTGGTCCGTCACACTACCAATATTAAGGTTATCCACTCCATCCAGTGTGATTGATAAATGTTTTTTTTTCTCCTTTTTAATCTTTCATCCCTGACATGTTTCATGTCCTTTATACTGCCTCTCTTTAAAGGAAGTTGAGTGTCTCCCACATCATGGTTCCGTTGTTTGATGAAAGGACTCTTCAGTGTCGTCCTTTTCATCAAACAACGGAAACATGATGTGGTAGACACTCAACTTCCTTTAAAGAGAGGCAGTATAAAGGACACGAACCAAATTGGTTCTATTTTAACAAATGTTTTTAAACCACATATGTAAATAAACTAATTATAATAATTTGTAAATATTTTAATGTATTCATGCACATCGCTGTAGTTGTTAAAGGGTCAGATTTTATATTCATGACATTGTAATGATATTTTATATATTGATATTGACCAATTACATTGTAATAGTAGTTTCTGTCTGTATTGGTATATCCTTCTGAAGATAGTCTCTAAGATTGAAATATGTCAAGGATGAAAGATTGAAAAGGAGAAAAAAACATTTATCAGTTACACTGGACGGAGTTGATAACCTTATATAAATTCTGGAAAGTTTAGGAACAGGTCTGCAATGTAAATGAGGTGGCAGATGGGATGAACAGGAACACATCTTGTTGGGGACCATATACTGAGAATTGTTCTCTGGTGTTGCTGCGTCACACATTTGATACCCGTGCTTGAGGTGCAGGCATGTAAAGCAACAGATGGGTCTCTGTGCCACGCTAAAAGGAACGTAGGAAATGAAGGTTTTTGAGATCTAAATTTTGTGATGATGGTATATTAATGCAGTTATTGTGTCTCTGGACATTATCCATTATCCTGTTTTTATTAAAACATATAATGTTTCAGAGACTGGGTTCTGTCTCCATTTCATGTGGAACCTACTCAGTTAGGCCCAATCGATAGAGCTAGTCCCTACCTCCTGATGGACATAGAATCCGGTCTCAAAACATTGTGTATTTTAAGTAAAAATAGTACAATGGATAATGTACAGAAACACAAAAATTATAGTGAAGGTCTATTTATGGTTAGTAAGTACAAAAATAATTTAAAGTTACCTTTTGTTACTCTTAACTGCAGGCAGAGTATAGCTAATTTCCATCATGAACTGTTCACATAAATCCTTGTATAAGTGTGTACAGAAATGTTCCATAATGAAATTTTGTTAAGAAAAATGTGTCTGAGTTATGTGATGGAGAGTCTGGTAAAGCCCAGTCATGATGGTGACTGGGCTATGGGCTAGAGAGCTGAGAAATTGAACTTTTTTTCCATGTAGGAGTAAAAGTTATTTTCTCCAGACCAGCTCTGAGGTCCTCAAAGCCTTTTGTGAAATGGATTCTAGGACAAAGCTTTATATCAGATGGATTTTAGGGGCTCTTTTGCAAGGGGTAAAGTGGCTGGGGCATGAAGCTGACCATTCACCTCCATCTAGTGCCAATATTGAGAAAACACAGAGTTATACTGCCAGTCCCCTATGTAACTTCACTGTGTTGTGCTTAATTAAGGACAGAAACAACATTGTCTTATTTTATGACATTTGAGGATATTGAACAGAAGGTGTGTCTTAGCAGAGTATTTTAAGTTATTTAATTATAAATTAATATTGATTATTTACATTAGTGACCTTCCAGGTAACAGAAATGCAATGCAGACACAGTATTAGAATGACTTGAGTCATTATGTAAGTTTGATTACTGTTTCCTTTTGGTATCATTCAAGCCAACTGTGTTGCCAGTTTTGTCATCTAACTGGAAGACAGTTGCTTCCCTTGGTCTTCCAAACGTTTGATTTGAATGTCTTTACGGGATGTATGTAATTAAACATAAGTGCCACTAAATAAGTAAGTGCATTTACTTTGAGATCTCAAAATGGCATCACAACTTTATAGATGCTTTATACATGTTTTCAAATGTATCTTATTTTGTTATATATATTTTATGATGAAAGAAATATATATTGAAGAGTTGAATGCCTGTGATACTTTGGAATTTATGAGTACAGTAATTGTAACCTATAGATCATACATGAATTTTTAGCCACTAAATTATTATGCTTTGGTATTTATTATTTTAATATCTGAAACCAAAACTATTTATAATTAATGTAGTTGTTTGCCTGCCATACTGCTTACCTTGTTTTCCATTTTAACCAATATTGCAGTACCAAGCAATATCTAACATTTTGTGTTTGCTCTTTAAATTATGTTAACTGCTACCATCTTTCATGTTTAAGATTAATTTTAAATGACGTTACTGCCAGTCAGTATCAAGCCACTTTTCATTACCAGTGCAATGAAACCAATCTCATAGGCCAGATAAAAGCAATGCTGTCATCAGAATTCACATTTTTCATCACAAAGATCTGAGTTAAAAATCTGTCAGGTTGCCTGGAATTTACTGAAATTTTTTGAAATGCAGGGAAACCTTGGAATTTTTAGGATTTACAAAATTTGTAAGACTGCTCATTCCAGTGTATGCTCATAATATCCAAAAATGACTGATATATGTAAATGCAAACCCATCCCCTATTTTACAGTTTCATATAGTATATTCGTACAGTATGACACCAAGCTATGTTGATACAGCAATATTTCTTTATTTTTTTTTTTAGTTATCTTTGGGATATGGAAACAGTGAAGAAGAATTGAACATTCTGATCATCATTATCATTCTCTGAACTGAAGAGTTCAAGACTTTCTTAAACATACATAATCTCTTCTACTTGCAACTGACTGCAAATTAGGGGTCGTCCTTTATGAGCAAAAGTTCTGCCCACTATCTGCTGCTTGCCTATAAATCTCACACACATTCTGCCCATAACTCACTGTATATGCATACAGTAGAAGAAACATATCAGTTTGTATTAAACTTCGCTAACAGGCGTAACATGTTAAGGAGTTTAAATTGCATCAGTATATACTTGTGTACATACACAACATATGGATTGTGCTAAATGCCACAGTTCGAATACATTCAAATTTCTAATATTACATATAGATGGGATAGCGTAGTCTGTACAGTGACTGTCTATGGGCTGGATGACTCAAGGGTTGCAGTTCAAGTCCCGGTAGGGTAAAATATTTTTTCTTCTCAGTGTTGTGCAGACAGACTCTGGGGTTCACCCAACCTCTTATCCAATGGGTAGGTGGGGGCTCTTTCCCCAGGGGTAAAGTGGGCGGGGCATGAAGCTGACCATTCACCTCCAGCTAGTGCCCAGGTTAAGAAAATGTGGATCTATACAGCCACTCCCCCGTATGCCTTAATGCCATAGTGCTTAATTAGTTAAGCACATGGACAGCATGTTATGGTAGTGGCATGTAAGTTCTAAATGAACCCATAACTGTTTAATTTTCTAACCTAATCAAAAGAACATGTTTAGGTTATAATGAAAATAACCCTCACTGTAATACACATGAATAGGATTCTGTACTTCAGCACCTGTGATGTTTCATTGGTAGCACATGTCCCATCTCATTGTCTTCATCACAGAGCCATACACAGGGACTAAAATTATTTTCACCAATAGGCATTCATGAAAAAAGTGTTTATTTGCTTGGGTTTAGTATATACTACATGTTTCTTCATCATTGTCATTAACAGTGTCAGGAAGTTAATCCATACTGCCCTCCTATTTCACTTTTCATTAAGCCAGCAAGATCATACAACAAGCTCTGCATTCAAGTCTATAGTCTTCCATATCATTACAATATGAGGGATTTTCAAAATTTTTCAGTTGGCAGTAACCAAGAGTGTAAATGTTTGATGAGGACTAAACCTTAAACAGCTATCTGCATAGCTGTATTCTGTGACAACCTTGTCAAACCTAAGACAGGGGAGGTGAAATCTGAGAGAAAGATATAAAGATATTGCAGGGTGCCTCTGTAAACTAGGTTTCAGTTAGCCACAATGAAGCACGCTACTGGACTGAAGACATCACATAATGTACATTTCCTAGGTTAAAACATGGAGGGGTAAGCTGCTCTATGCTAGATTCTGGAATGCAGACCTTAGGCACTGCTACCCATAAATAACTTCAGAAGCAAAGCAAGTACAGTGTGTGTAAAAAGTTGCAGGAAAACAATGGTAGCTAGTTAGGAATCACTCATGAACATGGTGCTGAAAAAATGTCTCTAGTTTTATGCAATGGTTTCCTGTGTATATAACGTTAATAAACTAATGGTTCCAGTGGTTTTTGACCTCTATAATGAAGTCCTCGTTATCAGCCATACTTGCTCTAT